TCTTTGCAATGTCCTCAGGATAAAATTTATTTATCTTTTAAAATCATTTATGAATAATGATCTGAAAATCAACTATTGGGATATATAAAAATGTGTTATGCGAAAATATTTGTGTACTTTGGGGGAGCTTAGTGATATTTGTACAAAGTTCTTCTGGTAGTTTCACCTTTATCTTAATTTTCTCTTTATGCTATTCTCTTTTAAGTGACAAAAATATCTAATCTTGAACTAAAATAAGTAAGATATGCTTGTAGTTATCGTATTCGTTATAATTAAGATTTTGTACTTGACCTTATCTTAGTAGAGCTCCCTAAATATCTGTTAACCAATTTATATTTAAACAATATTATAACGAGTGAAAAAATTTTCTTTCAAAAATATAATTAAAACTGTTAATTCTTAAACATTTATATTGATATTCTCATGATTACTCGACATGAACTTGGTATTTTTACTTTGCTAACTTAATTAAGATGATCATTTGCTTAGAATAAGATCTTACTATAAAAAAAAATCTCATTTTAGTTTAACCATCAAACAATTAAAGTCTACCAATAGATCTAATGATCTAAATAAATTTTTATTTGAATTCATCTTATTGAAAGATTATATATATATATATATAATGTTTTTCGAGTTACCAACAAGAAATTTAAACTTTTGCTTCAAAATATGATATGCAGAAGGTTATTCCGATAACATCATTATGGGCACTATTAGCGAAGGTAATAGAGGCTTCTTGGTAACCTGATTTATCTCTCCTTCTTCATACATACATATATATATATATATATAGCTTTTCATTTCTTTCCATCACTTTCTCATGCTATTAACCTTTCTGGACTAATGTGTACATATATCATCATAAAATGCTAAAACAATTAATGTGATTTGTAGACTTTGAGAAAATGATTCAAATGAACAGGGCGGGCTTAAAAAACAATCTTTAGATGAAGAATGTGGTCAAGGTGAGAATGTAAAAGTGCTACGAAGGTAATAAGGACGAGTTTAATGAAGAACAAATTATGACCCACCATAAAAATTATATTTCCAAGGCACCAGCCTGATAATGCCACCAAATAATTATATTTTCTATTCTGACCAAGTCATTCCACGTCAACAAAGTACGAGCTTCCGTTGACTTTCTTCTCATTATTCCAGTTTGTACCTTCCAAATATTTCGTTGTAATTCAAAGAAAATCTTCTCCTGTCTCCTTTCATGTGTGTGTGTGTATATATATGTCTCTTTTCCCTCGTCCATTTCACCCTAGCTAGTGATCTGTCATATACATACATGTATACATGTTCAATATATATAATATATTATGGGCTGTATAATATTTATGTCTAGCATGTGTATATATATGAAATTAGAGATGGGTCCTTCAAGTCAGCATCATTGTCTTTCCGGGAAAATTTCTGTATGTTTCTATATGTATCAATGTCAGAGCATAGAGTACTGATTCATCAATGAGATTGTCTCACAATATTAATTAATTTCACTGATAAATATGACTAATGTCCACTTATATGAGCTGTAATTGTACAATGTCACATATGACATGTATTTATTTATCTTATTATACATATGTTTTTGCAAGAAAAAAAAATGTCAGTACATCAATCCAAACCCAACAGAAAGAAAAAAGATACCAAATCAATATAGTGAAAAAAATATCATCGCCTTATCTTGACACAAATAATTGATATAATCTTATCTAATAAATAATATGTATATATATATGTGTGTAACGATCAACTGAAAAAAATTACACTTTCACATTCCACTGTTTGCATGAATAAAACTGAATATCTGTTGAACCGAGCTCGCTATATCTTCTGCTGTAAACCTCGTTTCACTTCCAACCTGCACATAATTTATATATACAATTGATATATATAGATTTTAAACTATACATATATACAAATAGTCCATGTAGCAGTAAAAGGCATATGGAGAGTTATCGGGTGTATATATATATATATATATATCTATGTACATGTACCTTGACATTAAAGGAATAGAGAACGGTTTGTTCAATAGTTGTGATGTTGGTGTGGAGGATGTTGAGCTGTAAATCCTCTAAGGCTGCTATGATTTTAATTAACTGGCCTGGTCTTCTTCTTGAGAGGATCTTGATCATGGCATCAAACCCTAAAACTTTGACCTCCACATCTGCTAAGCAAGATTTGTTTTCGGCCGTCTCCTCCCGGATTCCAGCATCAAAGATTTGATCAGTAGGGAGCTGAGGTAAAGGAGCTGGGAAGATCAATGGCGGCTGTTGGACGCCGGTCATGGAGCTCGAATCCCCCATTTGTCTTACTTGAGCTTCTCCAAGGAGTCTTCTGCGTTTCTGAGATTCTAGACATTGGAGAAGTTGTTCTAGTTCTCTCACAAACTCTATTGCTCCTCCAATAATCGATGCTTGATCTCCCTATAATTATAGTTTGTTGAAGAATGATTCAAAATTACAGTCAAGCATCTTTTACTTGGTTTGGTTAGTTGTGATTAGGCTTTTCCTATTTGTTAGACATGTATCTCTTAGTTAAGTAGCGGACATAGTGGTAGAATTTATGAACTGATTTTTAGCAGGTGCAGTTTATGTGTAAGTGTACAAATAGCCACTTTCCGTTTGTTGATTAATATCCAGAAAAATCTCTTCAGTATTATACAAAAATTCTTACGTGATTTAAACTATTTTGCTGGTCTGTTCTTATTTTCCAATGCAACTCACATCAAATCTATCTGAATCTTTTCTTCGCTTCATCACAAGAAGAAGATTGATTTGTTTTGTTTAATTATTTTGTAGCTGTCGAACTATGTTCTCATGTGTTTTCCTCGTACTTTATTATTTTATAATGTGTTATCTATGATCTAATTAATAGATATATCGATTTAATGTACACATATATATATATATATATATGCATATGTGAGTAAGGATATGCATACCCTTTGAACGTAAGAGCCTGGCATTAGAGACCTTAAAACACGAAGATGTTCATTCATCTGCTTCCTTCGATTTCTTTCAACTGCTATATGAGTCATTCTCTGGCTCTCAACTTCCTCGCTCGTCTTGATAGTTCTTGGTCTTTTTCTCTTATTCTTCCCTTCATTTACAGTGTTCTTGTTTTGGATATTATCATGATCTTGATCTCCAAGAAACTGGAGTTGTTGCACCGAATTTTTCTTAGAGACCCTAGCTTCTTCCTCCTGATCTTCTCTACCTTCTTTGTTATCTTCATGGGGTAACAGCACTACTCCTGCCCTATTTCCAGTACTTCCCGCTCCTTTAAACTTATTCTCTTCAGTATCTCCTCCAGATGGGCCAGCCGCCATTAACAACTGATGATTTTCTAACTTATCGTTCAAGACTGGAAACTTGAGGAAGTAAACTGGGTCAATCCCAGTTTCTTCTTCAGGGACCTTGGTTGGACTCAACCCTAACTTGGGTCCAAAATCTGCAAACTGCATCACATCAGCGAAGCTTAGTTTATCGAAAGAAATCGAAGTACAAAACCCATGAGATAATTGTTGCTGTTGTTGTTGTTGTTGTTGTTGTGTATGGAGATTATTCATCAGCATATAATCAATCATTCCGCCGTCGTTATGATCACCAGATGTTTCCCCGATTATTTGCGGCTTTATGAACTGTTGTTGTTGATGATGATGATGATGGTGGTGGAGTTGCTGGTTGTTGTGATCTAGAGAGTAATCTACAAGGCCTGTAAAACTGGCCTGCGAAAAATTATGAGGTTTGGAGAAACAAAACAAGATGGTGAGATGAAAAGATCTGTCAACAAAAAAAAAACATGCAAACAGCAGTGGAGACAATAAGCAAAGTTGTACCGAGTAGGTTTCTTCCTTCTCCATTCTTATATATATATATGTGTGTGTGTCTGTATATATATATGTGTGTGTGTGTGTGAGCTACTTTAATGGAAGAATACTCTTGATCAGCTCATCACTTCCATATATGAAGAGAAACTGGCAATGAATTTTTCGGCATGGAATCAGAACCTGAAAACAGTAGTCAGGAATAATTATGAAGCCTTGTAGAATTCAAACCCATATGGTAAAAATTAATTGATGAAATGATATTGTTAATAACAGGTAAATAAGATATATAAACAGTTATTGGCAAATTAAGGGTAGCATGACTAACCAGATAGGAAAGTGAGAGAGAGAGAGAGAGAGAGAGAGAGAGAGAGAGAGAGAGAGAACAAAAGAAGACAAGATCGTAATCTGGAAATGATAAAGTCAAGAACAGAGGCATATGGGGTACCACCATCAAAAATGGGGTTGATGATATTTGTGGGACTAAAAATATGTGTGATGGGAAGGTGAGTTGTGTCTTATATATATACATATGTATATACACACACACACGCATATGTATATATATAATGGGTCCATGCCTGCAGGTCTCTTGGTTTGACTCCAGATCACCAGAAAGAGAGAGAGGAGCCTGAGTGGATTAATGTGCACCTCAAGACGTCACCTCACTTTCACCATGTTTATTAATGGATGTCACAAGCTGCTACGCTCTGCCCTTTGCTTTTTACCACTCTTTTCATGAACCTAATTAAACACTCGAACATTTTATCATTTGAAACTTTGGACTTTTTCAAAATTTACATCATTCAATTTCTCACCATGCAACATTTTTAATTTACTTCCTTTTTTTTTTTGTTCTTTTAAATTTTGAAAGAAGCTTTTCTAATGGATTTCTAATTTGCTTCTATTACTTCAATAACAAAATTTAAAGAATATGAAGACCATATATCTAATTAATTACTGTTTTTATAAACTTTAATTAATTTTCAACGAAAAGCTGCATACATGAGTATGGAAAATTTTCAAGTTATATCAAAACTCTAGTATATATAAAGTATGCATGCATGCTTGTGTGAGAAGAAAAATAGACCAATTAAGCTTTGGTAGAGTCAAGAAATGACATATATTATGTATATACTAATATCGAATTTTTAATATACTATAATTATTTCAAATAAAAAAATTTAATCATTATAAAATATTTTTTCTATTAAAATAATAAACTCACTAAAACTTGATCAAATTTAATTAGTACACACCTATTAATATATTAATGAGTTAAATTCTCAGCCTCACTAAATTAGACATTATAAGTTGGTCACAGTTAACTTATAATGCACGTTTTCTCAATATTATAAAGCTAAATTCTAACTCGTAACATTTACATGTACAGTAAAATTAGTACATATAATATGTTATAATTGGATATGATGTATCTAACCACTACCATCATATTACACTAGATGTCTCAAAGTAACATGAGTTAAAGAACATGAAGAATATCAAACATGCCAATTTTTATCCAAGGACCTTAGTTAAGAAAGCTATTTATTCTAGTTGGTTCTTGAATCTATGTTATGTAACTTTTCGATGTAAATTTGAGGTTGTGATGTTTATGTTCTTTATTTCATCTTAATACCTAGTTCTAATGCTTGTGTTTCTTCTACATTGATTAATTGAACTATTCGTACTTTTTGTTTAAAGAAAAGATTATGTTTGGTATGATAGATAGAATAGATTAAATAAGTTGCCCTACAAGAGTTTGAGAAATAATTTTTAATTGTTATAATAAAACACTACTCAACTCAACTTATGGTTGGTTGTATTATTCATCCCTTAAGAAGTTAATAAATACACTATAACTTACATGTATTTCTTAATAAAAATATTATAATTGTTATGTTGCCTCTCCTACTGACGTTAATATCATGCTATTACTATTACTACCATCTCTATTATCTTTATTATTGTATTTACTAAATATTAAGAATTAAATTGTAATAAGCATTAACTTTCACATTAAATTGATTATTTATAAAAAAAAATGATAATAATACAATATTATATTGCTATAGTAAAATTATGTTACTATAGCAATATAATATCGTATTACTGTTGTTTTATTTTTTTTTTGAAAAAGTCTTCTAATTTGTGACTAAATGAAGGAACACCTGTTCCAAGAAAAACTAAAATGATAGTAATAGGTATTGTATTGCTATAGTAATATTGTGTTATTATAGTATAGTGATACAATATTACTATAGCAATATAATATTTTATTACTATCATTTTATTTTTTTCTTAGAAATGATAACACTTATAGCTAAATTGGAGGGTTTCATATTTTTTATTATATATGTATTTATTATAAAGGACACATTTCGTTTATAAGACAAAATTTGAGTTGAATCTCTCCAACACACATACGCAAGGTGCATGGGGAAGAGTCCCTCCACCGCACAACGCAATGTATGCGCATGCGCGCGCAAGGACTCTTACCAGCTAACAACTATGGTTTTCCCGACACTTTAAACTGATGAGAAAAAACAAAAATTGCATACTTTAGGTTAAAATCAATTTGCTTTAGATTGTTTGTAACTCAATTTTTATGCTGAATTTTATTTAGATTCTAATAGGACCATTATGTATAAATACACACTAAATCAATAGAAATAGCACAGTACAATCTATTCTTCAAGTTTCTCTCTCTCTGTCTCTCTCTCTCTTTCTCTTATATAATATATAATTATTTTAAATCTAATTTCAAAACCTCAAAACCAATAACGTAAAATTTAAATACAATAGTATCAAATTTGAAAATCTTGACTACCAGAGTTACCATTAAAATGCACTTGAAGTATGCTTTTTTTTAAGGCCTAATGGTGTGCTTAACTGCCCTAACACACTTGTACTATGTGCTTTGAAGGAGTTTATCCATGTTCACATCAAGTCTAGTACTCGTTAACCAAGAATCCTGGTAATATGGATTGCCATGATATGTCTTCCCTCTAAAATTTTGAATCAACAAATTTTCTATTAAAGTTTAAATCTTCAAACTACAGAATATGATAATAAAAAATTATTATACAGTTATTATGATAACCAACCTAATAAAATAAGTAATTATTATTGAATTACGGGTCTAAGATAAATTATATTATTATTTCATAAAATTTGTGGGGCTATTTCATAAAATAAGTAATCATTATTGAATTATGGGTCTAAGAATGTAAGTCTCTAAAACTCTAAACTAGAACTTTATTACATTACATTTAAACAGAGAATCCAAACGAAAAACATGTATATATACAAGGAATGAAAGAATTATTATGGCAATAGTCTTTTGGCCATCTTCTTTTAATTTTTTTTTTGGTCAATCTTTTATAACCAAGCTATTTTATCTATAATCTATAAATCTTGAGATTTGCATAAACATTTCAATTATATGATTTGGATTAAAATTGAGAAAATTATGAATTTTGAAGTCGATGATTGCAAAGAAAACGTGAATAGACTAAAATCGAGATTTCAACTATGTTTTCTATTTTTTGGGCCAAATTTTAGCCACTGAACTATATTATTTATGATCTACACTTCATAAGTTTTACATAAACACTAAGATTTACATGAATTTTGAAAACCTAGAATTATAAGAGACTGCAAACTAAATAGCAATAGGGTGGTTTTCGACCATCTTATACTTTTTATTGGCTAATTTTCAACAACTAAACCAATTCATTCATAATATATACATCATAAGCTTTCTGTAGATTGCATAATTTGGACAGGATGTCCAACTTATGGGAGCTTTGAATTTTTAAATTTTCAGCCACTAAAGATATTTTGGTTATGTATTGCATTGATTTTAAAATTCCAATACATAAGTGAATTAGTTTAAGATGGTGATATTGTATTAAACTGTTAGAATTGGACTGAGCTCAAATGAAATGTTTATGTATTGCTAATTTTTTTTTTTAATTAAAAAAAAAGATAGATTGAATTTTTCATCCAAAATTGCAAATAAGATCGTTGAGAGATAACCGATTTGTTTCTTACAATCAAAACATTAATAAACTAAGTTTTTAAATCCATTTAATCAAACATCATAATAAGTTCGAAATTCTTAATAAGGTTCGATCTTGTAACTTTTAAATCATTATATTATTATAATTTTTCAATAACTTAATCTATAAATTTTGGTGCTAAATTTTATATTTACCTTCAAAATTTTACGATAGTAATTAACAAGATCACGAAAAATAGAATATTTTTCAAAGCGATGATATAAACAACTCTTAATTTAACTTATTAGTTCTATTGTATGACAGTATTAGTTAATTTAATTTTTTTTTTATATATAAAAAGTGATATATTTGGATTTAATTATATTATCTTTATTTTTGGGGATAACTGCAAAAATTAATAATAAAAGAAAAGAAAAGAAAAAGAAGTGGTCAAGTTATAACATGCCATGAAGGCAAAAATTTGGTTACCAAAAATCACTTGTATCTTGTGAGCACCGTTCTTTTTTTTTTTTTTTAATAAAAATAAAAAAACTTTTGCATTAATAGGTCATGTGATTTGATTGTCTAATTACAAATTGTAATTTTTTAGAAGATTTTTTTCAAATAAAATACAATTCAGAAATTAATACTTGTAACTGCCGATGTATATATACACGTATTGCATTTATATATGTAAATCCAGTTAAATTTTTTTATTCTTGTTTTCACGTGTGTACGACTTTCCAAGAGTAAGAAAATGCCACCATCCATGGGCGGCTACATGCGTTCCAATTATTATTTTTATATATTAATGTGACCCCGAGACTTCAAAAGTGTAACATATCACAAGTTTTGTTCTGTTAATTTAATTAAAAATTTATTTATCAATGATATATCGAGCATATGACTCAAAATAATTCACGTACATGAATAAATTCATCAAGATGTTTAGAATTTGAATATAAAATCATATCAACAGAATGGTTTAAAAAAAAAAATCATCAAAAGAGGATCGAAGATAAATATCGACTGACGAACTTATCCGATGTCAATGAGAATAATAAGTCATATATTTTATGTTAAAATTTAGAAATTAATTAACTATAATTTAGTAGATTCAAATGTTTTGAAGGGTTTGAAACGTATACGAAATAAAAGAGTAGAATTTTTTTTTTTTTAATTATTGAAGTCTGACTCTTTGTATGTAAAATATTTTTATTATTGATTGGCCAAGAATATGGTCTCGATCTAATGATATGGGATATCCAAATGGAATTAACTGCGTCGAGTTGGCAACACAGGTGTTAATCAATTACCCGATAACCTATTTGTGATATTATGTGGTCATATTTAATTTTTATTTTCTCATTTTAATTAAAAAAAAATTATTATGCATATGATTATACAAAAAAAGTACTTAGGATGATGTGATTTTATAGGTTTAAAGAATGTTAGAGAATCAATTCATTAAAATTGAGACATTCGATATTCAATATTCCATCTAAAGCCATTTGTAAAAAATCTTATGGGAAGTTTTTATATAGTTAGCGTATCAACATGTTATGAATAGAAAAGCATTATTAGTGCCTATTCATTATTCAATTGTAGGAAATAATTTTATATAATTACATAATAGATTTCATTACCATTAAAACAAAAAAATAAAATAATTTCGCAAGAATGATGTTATAGAAATTATTTTGTGAATATACAGTAATATGGTATAATATTTCTTTTTTCATAATTACTTAAAAATGTATTTAATAGTAAAATTTATTGAATAATTTATAAATTTACTAATAATAAAAAAAAATACTAAAAATCAAACGTATACCAATTTTACAAATTAGGAATTTCTTCATCCTGCATATTTATCACAAACCCATTTGAGAAAAACATAGAGAAATTAAATACTAAATGCACAAAGTTGTTCGCTTGATGTGGACTATTTATCTATATTAGCTCATATAAGTTTATAACTGGGTTTTGTAGGTCTAATACTACTCTTAAAGCAAAATAACTTCATACATATTTGTGCATGTATAAAACTTGTGTAGCGGCTCAAATCCCTTTGATCGAAATTCAGTAGGTATTCGATGAACGAGAGATCGAGGAAGAAAATTCCCTCTACTTACAATTACAAATTAGTGAACGAAATTTCCTCGATGCATGTTTTCTGTTGTTTTGGAAATTAAGAATATTTGAAGTCGTTTCTCGTATTAATAATCTGATAAGAACAGAGAACCCTTAATGCAATTTTTTTTTTCTCTCTCTCTCTCTCTCAATTTAATTTTTAAAATTAATTGTACAATAAGAAAGCATAATCTTATTAAAAGAGAAATTATATAAGATTTCTATTAATAATATAATAAAAATCAATTGCAAAAATTCCATTAATAAACTAAAATTTCGTTGGAAAATGAAAACAAGAAAATGAAAATTTCTCCATATAAAAAAAATATATGTTCAAAGGAAACAAATCACATGTAAAATATACCCATGAAAATTTCGATTGACCCAATTAAATTTTCTTAAAAAACACCATTACAAAAACTATTTATTTCCTAATTTGATACGCTATTTAGAGTTAATGCTGGATTTGTAATACACATATACAGGATTCTAAGTATTAATCAATTATGATTTTATTTAAAGCTAACGACTTTCTGTTCATCTTTAACAAAGAAATGAGGGTTTTGGTTGAATACTGTATTTGCATTTTATGTATAATTCAATTGGTGATTTTGAATATTGGAGTAGAAGGACAGAGAGTGATTAGAGTTGATCAAAAAGGACATGGTGATTTTACAACAATACAAGCCGCCATTGATTCTGTTCCATCAAATAATAAGAAGTGGGTTATCATTCTTGTCAAGACTGGAACGTACAGGTACTGGTATTATTATTATATACTATATAAATATATGTGTGTGTGTATATATATATATATATATATATATATATGTTTTTGAGATGGGTAATATTGTGAATGCATGTGTGTGTAGGGAGAAGGTTAAGATTCCTTACGATAAACCATACGTAGTTATGAAAGGACAAGGGAGAAAGAGAACTATTGTGGCTTGGGACGATCATCAGTCGATTGCACAGAGCCCTACTTTTACTTCCATGGCAGATAATATTGTTGTCAAAAGCATCCATTTTATGGTAACTTTATTGTTTTTACTTTTTTATTATTTAAATGTTCGGCTCAATTTTTTACTGTTGAAGTAATTTTTAAAATTCATATTGTAATTAAATGTTATTATTATTATTTTTTAATATAGTGAGCCTTCCCACATGAGTTTGATTAGTAATTTAGTGACTCGAGAAGTATTATTTATTTTATTATTTTTTAAGTATACTTTAAATTTAATTTCTTATTGTTTTTTTAAATTTACTTCAGTGGTAAAAAAAATTGAATAAGAAAAGGTTAAAAGAAGGGTGCTCGAGAGGTGAGAGCATTGTCGGGCAGCGAGACACGTGTCGCGTGTAGGCGGCACCGCTCACCTCCCGTAGGTCGTACGGTCCACGTTGGAAATCGCACGTGCGGGGCACATGTTTCTTTTTAACCACACGGGGAAACACGGGAAAAAGACCCTTGCAGAAAAACTCTCTACTAGCGAGAGTCGGTTTAGGGTTTAATCAAAGCACGTCACAATTTCCAAAACCCACACCCCCGGAAGTTGCACGCATGAAACGTAGTCGTTTTAATAAAGAGTTAAAATATAGCTTAAATTACCGATGTGGGATTGGTACGTTATTCTTTTTGGGCCAGTAAACTGATTGTTGGAAAGCTCATACAAGTCCACAAAAAAAGAAAAAGGGAGTGATGATTTTATGTTTGAAATGGTGTCTAACAAAATACTTGGATTATATTGGAACAGAATTCATATAACAATCCGGGAGGGACAAACAAGAATCCAAGAGTACCAGCAGTGGCGGCATTGATAGCAGGGGATAAATCTGCTTTCTATAGATGTAAATTCTCAGGTGTGCAGGACACTTTGTGGGATGAGCAAGGTCGTCACTATTTTTATCGTTGCACCATTCAGGGTGCTGTTGATTTTATTTTTGGTAGTGCTCAATCCATTTATGAGGTACAAGCACATACATAGATATATGTATATATCTATACATACACATAACCATTAATATACATATAATTGAGAATATAACCAGTGGGTTTGTGTTTCAGAGTTGTGTTATCAATACAAATGGAAACGCATTAGGGCCTGGAGTTTCAGGATTTATCACAGCACAAGGAAGAACTAACCCTAATGATCAGACTGGGTTCGTATTCAAATATTGTGTTATAACTGGCACTGGCAACAATTTCTTGGGAAGACCATGGAGACAGTACGCTAGGGTCATTTTCTACAAATCAGATTTAACCAGTGTTATAGATCCTAGAGGATGGGATGCTTGGCACTTCGCTGGACATGAGTAAGTCGTTTCCCAAATAAGATCCAATTTCAGATTGATTTTATTTTCAACACCAAATATTTATGAAGAGTCCTAGTTCCGCTACTGATTTTCATTTTTCATCATATCTTCATTATAAACCCTTCATTTTTCTCAAGAATAAATTCTCTCTGTGAACAATCTAACACAGTTTTAATTCGTTGAACTGCCAACTTTTGTCGTTTTAGTCTTCTAACCAATACTTTGGTTGAATTGACAGAGGCCAGGTAACCTTTGCAGAGAATGGTTGTTTCGGATCTGGTTCAGACACTTCAAGGCGAGTTAGGTGGGAAAAGAAGCTTAATCCTCAGACCGTGCAGCAGCTAACAAGGATCAGTTACATCGACAAAGAGGGCTGGCTTAAGCGCCAACCCTACTAAAATTGATTTGGGAATGGACTTAACCAGATAGATTGACAATTAAGAAATGTTATTATGTCCAAATAACATTTACTATACAACACTGGGATTAAATCCATGATCTTCTTTATCTCATTTACTTTCCAAAATCACTTACAGCCTTAATTATATAAACTAATCTAATGAAGGGTAAAGTGACAAGAAGCAGACACTTGGTCATCAAATAAATTATACAAAGATGTGAAACTCAAACAAGTTATATAAAGCTTATAACAGGGTAAGAAAACGCTGCAATGGCAACCTTTTCAGGAATATAATTTGTGTATTCATAAATGTTGACTAATCTGAATGAATGATAAATACTGGGAACTCCCTGAGATGAAACTCCTCAAGTTTCCAATGAGTGACGTGCAAAACTTGAAAGACAACATATTACTTATCATATTTCGTTCTCTTAGCAGGAAACTAATCCATTCCTAAATCTCTATTTAAAAAAATGAAATGTTCACCGAACCATAACTTGAACAGGCTCATAATTGAGACACTTAACTATATAAAGAACAAAAATTTTCCAGATTCTGAAACCCCCCTGGATGTACACTCAGGCAACTCTTGCTTCTCGTTGTGTGCGTGCTTATCATTCTCAAGGATATGAACCTCTCATCTTCAAATCTTTTGCTTTATATTCTATAGCATGGGAACATCGACATTTGAACTTTGATATATGAGATTTATTTCAGCTTGGGTGATGCATCTTTAGATTTGATGTATATCCCTGACAACAAATAAAATGGCCATGCTGTTCAAAGATTTAGAATCAAAACTATTTTATATTATGTGTTGGAACACTAAGATAGAATTTGGTGTTCTTAAAGTCATCAAGAAGTGGGTTGTATCCATCCTTTGTTCTTGTTTTGGACGGCAAGCCAAACTCTTCCATGAATGAAGAAGTGTCAAGCTGCAGAAAGAGATAAATTTCAATAAAACATGCAGAAGTCACCAAAAGAGTCTACAATACTTGTGAATACAGGAATATGAAAAACTATACATAGACATTCCACCAAGTATTTTGATTCTTAGACTACATCACCGTATATAGACACAGTCCTAATGAAAACATAGCAGTCAACAAAATAATTCTGTGCTATTAAACACTTGGAAAAATAAATAAATAAAGCCAATAGCATTAGGTAGCTCTACTTTTCTTTGGTCAAATTTTGCTTCAATAGAATTTTCATGGGAGAGACAGTGCTCCACATAAGGTTGAAAGAAGTGGACTTCCCTAATTCTCCTATCAATTTTGTGGGTTACTTGAAAGGAAGACAGTAAGGAATATTTTTGTTTCTTTTGCCATTCACTTTCTATTTGAGGGTATTCCTCTCATTTGACGATCCTACAGACTTATCAAAACCATATACAAAGATCCTCCGAAGATAAGCTTATGGGTTCAAGCCTATCACATCATACTCATCTCAAATTTGAAGGTATAACAACAGTATAGCTAATTTGAAGCTATTAAACATTATAGCTTTACAACCAAAGTTGTGCCAATATATGTTGAGCTCATGCTTTTTTCTTATAGTACTAAATTATTTCCTCATTCAAAATCTATTATTCATTGAAACGAACAAAATTTATTCTGCTTGGCATTGACACACATTTTTGACATCAAGTCCAGTTTATTTAGATAAATTGGTTTGCAAAAAAACAAAAAAATGAGTATAGTTGATCACAAGACTGAATCCATTTTCCTTTATGAAAGATCCATCTCGTGCTTTTACCAAAAAATCAACCAGTATAGAATATGATCTTACTAAAAAATGAACTCACAGTAATTGTTCGCCTCCCCTTCCCCTTTTTAGGTGAATTATCTTTTTGGAGTTTCAGCCACCCAGAACAATAATGGTCAATACGTTCCAAAAGCCAAAAGTCAGTAGGGAAAAAAATATCAGCATCCCCCTGCAGCGGGAAAAATTGCAATTTTCTTTAGCATTCTGTCTGGATTTGAAATCTGAGATATTAAACATCACTAAACGAATTTTGTTTTATTTTTCCTTTAAAAGAAGAAAAGACGAATTCGTCCACATAAGGAGACAAGATTATGCCGTCGACAACTAAAAAGACAAGAAAGTGTCTATCAAAAGTGTTTATAATGTCCCCAACATTACTACAACAAATTATCAGTCAGTGATCTCTAAAATGTGAGCCATCACTTTCAGATATCTTTCATTCTCCACTAAATTAATCCCTTCATGGCATGATATTTTATGAGTTCATTGAATCAAGTTTGTTAAGCATAGTTATGCAGGAACTACTGTCAGATATGTGGAAGAAAGATGAAGGAAGAAAAACCTTTGCATCTAGATGACTGTTATAATCCGAGCTCCGCCCATCTTTCTGCAGATCAAACATCAAAGAGGTGAAATAAAAATTCTGAAGTTTTAAATTCTTTTGACATGCCTTTCCCAGGCATCTTCTGGAATTAGAAAATAGACAGATTTTGACAGATAAATGCCAATATTCTCAAATTATATGACTCGCTACATTTCATAATAACTGAAATATATCTCATATTACTCATAATAAAGCATGTCCTTGCAGTAGCAAATGTACAATGCTGGCAAGTACAAGTGCAAAATTTATCTTAAGACCCGCTACTTCATGTTGGGATACTGAAACTTAAGACTGCAAGATATTATAAGGTCTCACTTGTCAGAACTAACCTAATAACTTCCATGTTCTCCCCAATGATTTCACAACATAAAGTTATACTACATCTATGGAGTTAGATGGCGACTGGGATGAGTGACACATGGCTCTTGGGATGAACATGGCTTCTGGAACAGTGTTGTTACTATTTTGTTCAGTTATCTAGTTAATAAGTCTGAATGCAGTTTCTAGGATGCGGGATAGTTACTTCCAATCAGAGATATTTTTCTTAAGAGCAGTTGTGTCTTACTGTATGAAAACAAACTAGCAATCTGAATAAAAATATGCAGAAACTTGGTTTCTTAAGTTTCTTAAGTGCTTTTAAGTTGTGGACATCTTTGGTTTTCTCTGAACAAACTCATACTATTATTCAAAATCATATAACAAGAACAAAAGCGGGAATAATAACTTTTGGTATCAGAGGCTATGGGAGACTTGTGATCTCTCCAAAAAATATTGAGAATTTTCTCAAATGGTACCAAGAGGATTGAGCAAAAGGACACCTTGCATGGGACCAAGACAAGGCAAACAACAAGCAGTAGCAACAAAGTTGGAAGAATTTCCAGAAAATTTTCAAATGCCAGGCCAGATTTTAGACAAGTTAAGAAGGTAGTGTTTGTAGGGAAAGATGTAATTAGCAGCATGCTGATCATTCAGAACACCAAGATGCTGGTATTGTACGCAACAACAGAAGAAGATGAATGAGCACGGGTAAAAGTGGAAAGTCATGCACAGCTGTGTCTGGAGATGAAAGCCACTCCAGAGAGTGCCAATTTCATGGATGAAGAAGGGCACATAGGTGCCAACTTACCTGAAATTTTCACCCATTTGTTGAGCAATAAATAGACCCAGAAGTAATAGAAAACATTACAAACCAGTAGAATTATCCTAACGACTCGATTGAATCTAATGTAACCAGATAAATTGTCTTAGAATCGGGCGTCATTCCGGTTGTGATGAGACCGTCCGGATATACCCATGTGCCTCTTCTTAGATCCTCGTACCTTTTTCAATTTCTTTTGTGATAATGAATTTTTCCCCAAATCTAGTCCACATGAAATGTTTCTATTGAAAGTAATGATAGAAGAAGATGGAATGAGCACGGGGTAAAGGTGGAAAGTGATGCATAACTGTGGTTGGAGATGAAAGCCACTACAGAGGGTGCCAATTTCATGGAGGAAAACTAGCACGTGTGCTCCTTGCCAGGTTACCTGAAATCATAACCCATTGTGAATTATTTTGAGCAATCAATAGGCCCAGATATAACCAGATGCATTGTCTTAGAATCAGGCATCATTCCGGTTTTGAAAAGACCATCCAGATATGCCCATGTGCCCCCTCTTAGATTGCCGTATCTTTTCCAATTTCTTTAATGATGATGAATTTTTGCCCCAAATCTAGTCTGTATGAAATAGTGGCTGGAGATGACGGCTGATCAGTTTGATGGTGAAGAAAGAGATATGGAATTGGTTCCAACTGATGCAAAGGAAGCTGAAAACAATATACATCCTATCAAGAGAATTCAATCTTCACTAACAATGCACATCTGGGAATTATTAGACAGATTTCTAGAAGGATTTTCTAGCTTAGATTTTTGTCCCCTGGGATTGATTGCCTCCATCAGATTCAAGGTAGTGACAGAAACAATGATGAGAAAGTTGGGAGTAAAGAAATTAGCGGCCAAGCGCCATGGCTTTTGAGTAATTCAGTCTTTCTAATTGTTTTATTTGTCTTGAAGCTTCTAGGTGTCAAGTTTGACAGCTCTAGATAGTGATTTCATTTGTGCAAGTGCTATTAAAAGTTGGCAGCAACTAAAGGAAGTCAAGTGGGTCCACCAAGGGTTTTATCTATTATTGAACATGTTGGATAGAGAAGCCAAAGGTTTTCCCAAAAAAAAAAAAACTCAAGGATTTGCCATTTCAGTTGCTTGCCTCTCCAAATGGATTTTGTAATTCCTTGCAGCAACTCCTTTGTAAGGATCTAGTTTGGGTGCTTGAGGACAAGCAGCTTTTAAAAATAGAGTGGGTGCATTGCTAAAAGTGATGACACATGGCTGCTGAAGTGAGTAATACATGGCTACTTGAGTGACTCATGATGGCTGGAGATATATGATGCCTGCAGGAACAGTCTCATTATTTTATTCGGTAGTTTAGTTCTATTTAGTGATACAATTATTTATTAGGATAAATGTGAAAGTGATTTCTAGGATACACGATAGCTGCTTCCAACCGGAGAAGTTTTTATTCTTCTGAGAGTTTTATTGTATAAAGCAGAACAACAATCTCAAGAAAAAAAATATATATATGCAGAAATTTTCTCTTAGAATGTCTTAAGTTCTTTAACCTGAAGAGATCTTTGGATTCTCTCTTAACAAGCCTAAGATATAAATCAAAATTACGTAAGAAGATCCTAAGTAGGAACGATAACACAAAAGCACCCTTCAAGATTTAATTTAAGCCAATTTGAAACTCAACAGACCTTGGTTGAAACCAGTGGAGCCCTTTCACCAGGTATCCTAACATCAGGTAGGTAGCTGAAGTCTGAAGCAATTAAAGACATCTTCGGGAGTGTAGCATGTAAAACCTCCAGCAGTTTCTGCACATTCAAAGACAATATTATTCCCATGGATAGATTTATATGAAAAAACTATTTAGGAGATTTTCTTACCAGGCAACCCGTTGGGAGCCAACATCTTCTAGGTTTTGGAAAGAAGTTAGACCAAATGCTTTTTGCCTTTAACTTCGCACTGTTATGAGTGACAGGATTTCCCCCCGATTCAATAAGTTCAAGACAACGCATGATTAACGGATCTTGCAAAGGCTTATACAGCTCAGAAAACGTTCCACTATGAACAGAGGAATCCCAAGTTGAAAATTTAAAGGAAGTAGAGTGTTAGTTGTCAATTGAGGAGACAGAAATCCAGCAAGATAAGAACCTCTAAATTGAGATCCAGTTGCAATTATATAGAGATGCATTTAGCAATAGAAACAGGATTTCCAAATAAAACTGATGTGAGCATGGACAGCATAAGTCATCCCAAACATAAATCAATCCATCCATTTAAGGAAAGAATCTGCCAACACTTTAATTTCCTTCCAAAACCTCATAGGAAATCAAGAGAAATAGGAAAACAAATCTCATGCCTTAATGGGAGATTGAATCTCATGGATTTTGGGAAGATTATGGGGGTCATAATTTTTCACAATTACTTCCCCTAAATCAGCCACCATTAATTAAGATTTTCGCTATTTAAAAAAAGAAATCATATATATTCTATTTTAGATAGAAATCATATTAATTGTTACAAGTTTCCTATTCTATTTTAAATTTATTTTCCTATATAATTTTACCATTAATTTAAGATATTGTTTTTTCTTATTATTTATATAGTTTACATTATAAATTGGTCATCAATTCACAATTGTATGGATTCAAGTTTCCATCAATAAAATTAGAGAATTTACTCTCAACTAAGTAAAGTGTCTTCAACCTTCTTGTTGAGCAAAATATGGATCAATTTATCAAGATATTCTTGTGACGTTTTTCCATTCTTTTAATTTCCCAATCATCTTAGTTTCTATCACTCTATTGATAGGGAGTTAAGTAGGGAGGGTTTTATCAAATTTAAGTTTTTGGTGTCCTAATGAACATTGTATAAGTTCTGAATTACAGCGTTAATCCTATGTTCTGCATCAAAAATATATGGGAACATCCAAATAATTTACACCAACGAAGACTGCAACTAATCTACCTCATCCTTGTACATTACGAAACATTATATCTTATAAGGATTTACAAGTATAGGCATATGGATAGATTTAATGACAGATGTGCATAGGTTGTATGGCAATTGCAATGATTGCTAAGTTGAAATTCTTAATTATATGGTTTTAGAATGACAACAGATAAACCTTCTCAATAAAATGTTGACAAGAAAACTAGCACAAGTAGAGTTTGCACAGCCTACCTCTCAGCTTGCTTCTCAACCCAGACTTCCATCCAGGGAGCAACTTGATTTTCTGAATAAATTAGATCGTGTGGAAGATTATCAAGCACCTGAGGAATAAATATATTTGTTGTGCAGAACACAAAACAATCAACCAGGTTTCTAGCATGACATTAGAAATAGATTAAGACAACAAATATTATTAAAGGAAAAAATGCAGAAATTTTTTCCCGTTTAAACAGAAGTCTTTTCTTTTTTATTTTGAAATAATTTGGTTGTGGAAGAAGACTTTTGCACTCATAATAGGTTAGGCTTAGATATCTTTTATCTTAGAGTTTTTTATTATTCCGCGCCTAAAGTAATGGTGATTAGATTTTAGGTTTTAGGAAGAAGACGCTTTCCTACTTATTTTCACCAAAATTTCAGAAGTAAAATAATCAGTTAAAAGTTTATCAAAAAAGAAAGGGTTTTAGAGTACTTTAACTCTATACATCATAGGTTTATCTCCAACCCCTAAATCCTATCAATATAGGTCATAAAGGGTGGAAATCTACAAAACAAGCAGCTAACTTGCCTCAAGATTTCAGCCTTGGTCATCCCATGACCCGATCCCAAGCTCACGAATCAAAAGGTAATAATTATTGTTATGACCATTATGCGTGCTTGCATGTGTGTGCGTATAGAGAGGTCAAGGAATAACATTTTACTGGAAAGCTGCTTGTTTGTCTGCAAAGATGGATATATGGGTAAGCAGAAAGATATAATAGTTCGGGCATTAGATGGCACTTATGATTGGTAAACCAACAAAATCAAGCAAATAACAAGGTTATGTCAATAGAGTTTTGAGTACTTCTGGATAACAATATGATTGCTCCAATACATACCTCAAGCATTATCACCCAACAAGGTTGTTCCTTCACATCTCCTGATCAAAAATGCAAAAGCCGCTTAAATTTCTGATTCATGATGGACAATTTCAGAAGCATGATAAATTAGAAGAAGAATAAGCCGAATGACATTCTTTTTTCCCCCTCTCTCCATTTGATGGGGAAGGAGTTTGGACAGGACAACAGTAGTAGAACCATTGACAAGCAACTTATAGAATGAGAGAGTATACAGTATTTAGAACAATCTGTCTTTTAAATCTTACGAACATGAGAGCACAAATATTACTAGATTAAAGACAACAGGATAACTTTTCAGTCAAGAACTTGGTCCCATCACACTCCACCCCTAGTTGCATTATCATGTTAACCTCTAGTTTGATGGATTAGCAGTTAAACTGAATTTTAACACTTAAAAAAGCATATAAGTAAATGATTTAAAGCTCCCCTCCCATCTACCAAAGATTATGCATCTTTCAGTATTTTAAGTCTGACAGACTGTCTTTCTCAGTCTTATTGAAATCCTGATGCATGAATATCTGCAAGCTCATGCATTTATCCATAAAAGCTCATATTCATCCATGTCAGGAGTTGGAAGTCCAGTGTCATATCCCACAATTTTAAAAGACAAGTTCAACTTGTCTGCTAAAGATTTGGATTTTTACCCTCTTAGAGTATCCACTAAGACCTAATTATCAATCTTTCTTCTCTTACCTTCCTTCTGCTCTCAGCTTTCTCTTGCTCTCAACCACTCTCAATCGTCTCTGATCTGCTGCTCATTACTGAAACACCAGTAATTCATTGTCCCAACCCATCTCAGTTCTCTCTTCTTTTGATTGCTAATACCAAAAAAAACAATCAACTTACATCTCAGTTCTCATCATGCCAGCCCCCATAAGCTCTGCACTTGACCGATACACCATGCTTTTATACTGTAATATATGCCATTGGATCAGGAGACCTCCTTAATAGTTTATATTTTTATTATTACAGTTGACAGAGATCCTACAGAAAGTTATTTTTGGTGAGTTTACTTATGCCTGCATGTATTCTTGTTCATTGTAATTTTTCTGCTTTTTCCCTTTCATGTACTTATTATTGTTTTCTTATTGTTAGTAGTCCTGTTGGACATGATTAACTTTTTCTTTAGAAGAAAAAGTGTTGTACATGATTAACTTTTGTAACCAAGAGTGATAAACTCTAAATTTCATGCACTTCTTACTTTTCAATTCCCTGGTGAGCACAAGGTATGGAGATGAATATTCAAAGCCTTTCAAATGGGATGCGAAAAGGCATTATTGTCATGTAATCATCAATAGTACCCCTGGAACATCTGTTACACGTGCATTCTTTGTGTCCAAGTAGGGAATAATCTACGTAATAGTAGAAATGCTCAATCAACCTTTGTGTTTTCCCTTTTTCCTTTTTAATTTACTTGCCCCTTTTTCTTTCCCAAAGTACTGGTTCATTTGTGTCAGGTTTCAGTGAAAGCAAGACCAGGTCAAGCCCACTGCTGAATGACAGTGGCTTTAGGTTAGATTGGGTCTATACGATAAGGTCAGATCTGGAACCCTAATTTTTAAACAAGTTTGTGTTTCTGAAAAGGCAATATAATTGATGCCCAATATTTCTCATCCCTATTCACAAGAAAACTCAAATTAACTGCAGTTTATCAGACTGGAAATGTTTTATAATGTAGAGCATATATTATGCAATCAGAAATTAAAGAAGAAAACTACAACAAATGTTATTAAAGATACCGCACCCCATCCACCCTGGTCAGCCGCATCACGGCATTCTAAACTGAATTTTGATAAATGACTATGAACTTCTCCAACGGTTTCTTTCTGAATTTCAGCAAGTGAAGAACTGATTTCAACTGAGCTGCAACAAATAAATTAGTTTAATTTAGTCACATGACTCATCATTATCTATACCACAAATTGTTGAACAAGAAAGGGCAGAGCTCATTATGTGCATCTAAGATGATATTCAGGGGAAAATAATCAACTAGTGGAAAGCAAAATAACTGCGGAATCTAGTTTGAACATTATACTTTAATGGTCCCCAAGTATCTAATGCTTTAATATATATATATAAATAAATGATAACAGTGAGTCAACCAAGCCAAGTTGAATTCCAGAGATAGAATTGTTAAATCCTTTGCACAGTAGGAAGCTCCAACTACTTTTAAGAAGGAGATCACACCTCTTAGACGGTTTTAATATCTTTTTCGTTCTGTTTTTTTTTTTTTAAAAAATCAATTTGAACATATGTCTATTCCTATAACTGCTCCTGATACTCTTGGCTTTTTTGCTCCTGAATCTATTGGCTGTATGGTCAACACTTAGCTTGCTGGGAATAAAAGATGGAATTCCCTTTGAAGCAACTACCCTATTTCATGTTCTAACTGATCCTTGCACAGGAATTTCTTTTAAGTGCGGCAGATAAAGCTGTAAAATCCCTTGCACAGTGGGAATCTCTGACTAGTTTCAAGTAGTGACACTGTTTCTTAACTGGTTTTGTTTGTTTATAGTAAAAATTATCATGCTATTTCATATTGAAACCAAAAGATTACACCTATATATAGAGGAGGAAATTGTTATCTAGGAAATGGAAACAGAAAAAGGAATTATAGTCTAATAAGGACATTGCCTATTTCAAGACTACATAATCAACTCTGTAACCTGACATAAATATACTACGACCTTAGAAGTAGAATTAGTAAGAATAATGATTACTTAATTATCCTACCAATTCTACAAGTTTCAATATTGTTTTCGTTCTGGTTTTCTAACTAATAATGATAACAATAGTAATATTAATGAGTCGGAGAATTATAAAGAAGAGGAAATTTTCATGATAGACTCTTCAACGTAAACAAACTTTAAGCGTACACATACCAAATGGAAGTCAGATTTTTTTATGATAATTTGAACGAAGATTCAACTAGGAAATCATCCATAAGGATAAAGGGAAATGTTTGTGCATCAGATTAAGCTTTTAAGGACAATGAGTGATTAGAACTATTTAAAGCTTCTTACCAAATTATCATAAAATTGTCAAATATCTAAGCAACAGAAAAAATGGCAATCAAACTACCGTTGGATTGAACTTTCAACGACAACAAGAGATTTGAACTAGTTGAGATTATTTTCTCAATAGGAAAAGAAATATTATTAAGGGCCGAAAAAGATGAAGTACAATATCTGAGGACAAGATATTCTCCTATAGCATTCTAGTAAAAGAACCCCAACTCGTAGTTACAACTGAAACCAACAAAAATCAGTATATTATCCCCCCAACCAAAAATTTTTGTGTAGCGCAGAAATAGAAAAATCAGTAAAATGCCAGCTGGTCTTAGCCCACAAGAGGCCAGAAATGTCATTCGCTCCCATAGAACTTGAATATGAAAGGTAGTGCCATAAAATATCTTATTATTCCGCTCCATCCAAACTAATTGAATTTTATTATCAAATTATCATGAAAATTTCAAATTTCTAAGCAACAGAATAATAGCAATCAAACCTAGTTCTGTTTTAATGGGCTTTGACATGTCACATTTATCTGCTCCAATATCGATAACCACCAATTAAATAACAGAAAAGATTATGCATAGAGAGTGTTTGACATAAAACCATGAAGACTTGTTAGGCAGCCTAAGGGCTAAGTCAGAGAAACTGCCTTTCCATAAGAACTTTATCTGTAAGAGTAACATCAATGAAGTGTGTTACCAGATCCAAAATGTGATCAGTTACAAAGAAATATGCTTACTCTGTATCCTTCATTCAATTTTCCCATGTGTCAAATAGCTGGAAATTCTTCCAGTTACATGTACAAAGCATGTGATGATGTTTAGAGAGGATATGGAAATTCTACCAGTTACTCATGCATGATTTGGAAAAAGCATGTAAATGAGAGAATAGTAGACAAATGGACAGATATATGTTACATAAGAAATTTATCTATAAGAATAACATTAACGAAGTATGTTATCAGAACCAAAGCATTATCAGTTAGAAAAATTCTAATTGCTCATTCTGTACCTTTCATTCAATCTTCCTATGTGTCACATAGATGGGAAATTCTACCAGTCACAGTGTACAAAGCATATCATAATGTTTAGAAAGGATATTGAAAGTGACAGAATAATATAGAAAACCAATCTTTTCATAACTCAAGAGTCCCTTCTTTTAGGTTTAGTACTCATGCAAGATTTGGAGAAAGCATTTAAATGAGAAAATAGTAGACAAAGACATACATACGTGTAAGACATATTGTTGTAAACTTTTGTGGGAGCATTCAACTTTATATAATCCATTATTCCCTTGGCACAAGTTCCTGAACCACCACCAATTTCATATATCTGATCACATATTAGAAAGAACCAAGTTCAAGTCAATGTTTTCAGCAAGTAGATTTAAAATCCTAATCAACAAGTGATCCCAAGACCCCACACAATTCAATAAGCAAAATAGCATAACATCTCCACATTCACATACACATATTGACAAATTCAAAGAGCAATTCTTGATCAAAATGGTTAAGGGTGTTTGTCTATTCCATTTCCTAGACTATTACATAACAGTCTAATAGTCCCACATATGTTAAGGTATCACATGAGTCACAAGGCATTATGTAGATCAGCATCCATAATGCAGTGATAAGAGAATAAAAAAACTCATTCTGTTTACTTGTAAAATTATTATGTCCATTGAGTATCATAGCCAATCCTAACCTTTAACCCTCCTTAACTAAAAACCCCAGTGCCTCTTTCTTCTCCCAAAAAAAAAGACAACAAAAAACAGTAACTTTCCCTTCCATCACAACAGAGCTACTAGAAATCAGAAGCCAGCAGTTTAGTTGCAAATCCAGTCAAATAACTCAAATCTAACCAGTGTGTCTGTATCATCTGTACAGTTCAGTAAGATTCATATAAAAACTGTTAAGAAGTGTATTTATCTAGTAAGCAGGGTAAAAGACATAGTAGTAGTACACCACTCTCAGATATTTAATAGTGTTTCTTTTTTATTATTCATAAAACCTGTAAATACAAGGTCCTATTATTTAATAAAATTTATACTTCATTTTCCATATGGTATTAGACCTCTTGGTTGAAAATCCTAAACATTTTTTAAAAATCATATTTGATCTTTATTGCCAAAATAAGAAAACCCGAAGGAGGACCAGCCTTCATAGCCAGCTGCTAAACTCCAACCGCCCGCCACCACAAGACCGTCTATTTTCCTATAAGGCAGGCTTCATAGCCAGCACTAGCTCCCAAACCGCACAGCTAGAAGAAACCAGACGCAGCCGCTCAGCCACCAGCCACCAGAACAGCATGTCTGCACCTGCACGGCCTTTGTCCGGCTAGTCACACCTCAGTTGCACAGGCAGCTCTCTTTGCGCGCCCCACAACCTGCACAGCACACCCGCAGCCCTCCATCTTGCACGCCTGTCCCTGGCCACCCTTCTGTCCATAGTTGCTGCTCCCTGCACAGTCGTGCCACCTTCCACACCCAACCTCCAAAGCGCACAGCCATCTGTGCTCAGCCTTTGGAAGTTCTAGCCGGTAATCTTCGCTCTTATTACTTTTCACTTGGCCTTAATTGTCCTAATTATTCACTTGAAAGATGTTGGAAATTAAATCTGAATCTACTGGCACAAATTTTGCAATGGAGAACTCAACACATAACAATGGCGAATTTCAGGTAATCCAAGCTACCTACCACTTCAATGACAAAAATTACTTGAGTTAGTCACAATTGATTCAACCACTCTCAAGGGAAAAGGAAAACTAAGTCATCATCTCAGCACTGGATCAAAGTTGGAAGAGCCCATATTTGATGCTTGGGATGAGGAGGATTCTATGTTTATAGTCTAGCACTAGAACTCTATAGCACCAGAGATTAATAAATCAGTTATCTGCCTACAACAAGGGAAATTTAAGATTCAATACGATAAACTCATTCCGAGGGAAAAAATGTAGCTTAGATGTATGATATGATCGTCAAAACTTGGACAACTAAATAGGACAACAAAACAATCACAGAATATTCCAACCTTCTAAAAGGCTTATGGCAGGAGCTTGATCAATATCAGAGTGTCGCTATGAAGAATAGTAAAGACGTGGCACTCTTGAAAAGATTTGTTAGGAAGATAGGTCATACCAATTTATGGTAGGAATCAATGAGGAGTATATCAGGTGAGAGTCTAAATCCTAGGGAATAAAGAGATATCATCCCTAAGGTGATATCCTTAACTAATGCAAAGGAAAGAAAAAGAATAGTTATGCTTGAATCTCGCACAATTGATGGCTTAGCAATGGTAACTAAAGGTTTTAAACCATGTCAACTAGGAAGGAATCAAATCACAGTGAGACTTCAACTACCGGGGGTGAGAACAAGGAAAATCTTTGGTGTACCTTCTACAAGAAACCAAGACACACCAGATAAAATTGTTGGAATTTTCATAGAAAGCTGACCACCTCTAACAAAGATTGGGAATACAATAATCATCAAGGAGAGGCACATGTAGGCCAAGAGAAGAAGAATATAAAGAAGATGTATAGTATCAAGGGCAGTTGCTGAAAAATGAAGAGCTTGAATGGGAATATTTTGTGGAGTTGTGATGCAGATTCGGCGGTGCTTCGAGAAATATTAGATAGAAGAGTTCAATAAGCTGATGCAAACCAAAACTGTTCTAGAATACTAAAACTGTTTCAAGCATATTTGCACCTTAATGAACGCAGAAAATCCTACTCTTTCAAAAAAAAAAAATATTTCCAGTTTCATTAGCCGACTTAAACTAGAATTACAGTCAATGATAAGACTGCTTAAACCACACTCACTCAACCAAACTTTCAAACAGACCTTACTCCAAGAACAGTCCATAATAGAAATATCTCGGAGTTCGTATTTCACTGGCAAAACTGTCCATATGTCGAAGGGTTATAGAGCAAAAAGTTACGAACGAACTTCTAGAGCCATGAGAAGGAAAATGGAGCCAAGAAAAACAACTACAACATATTACAAATGTGGGAATCGATATTTACCATGACATTGCTGCCAAAGCAAAATGATAATGGCAATGGAAGAGGTTGCTACCGAAGAAATCTGCAAAGAAAAGATCCCTGAAAGTCCAGTGAATGAAGAAAAACCTCACAAGCACCTTGTCCATACACTATAGGGAGTACTCTTTAAATGCAAGGGAAATTGGAAGGGCATGACACCTTGGTCCTTTAAGACAGTGGAAATTTGCATTCATTCTTAAACAAGGGAGTGGCCAAATAGATCAAAAACCACGTGGTTAGCAATAAACCATTAATGGTGATGGTAGCCAAGAGACAAAAATATCTAGCCACATTAAATGCCCGAAAGTGTCATAGAATACAAATTTGTTTACGACTTCTGCATAATTCCATTAGCATATATGATATAATATTGGGGGTCGATTAGATGACGTAATTCAGTCCAGTGATATTCAACTTCACTCCAACCACCATTAAATTTACTCATAGTGTTTAATGGAGACAACCCATATGAGAAGTCAACCACTAAAAAAAAACTAAAGCAAGGAAGTAGACCAAGCAAAAGCAAGCCATGGAGGGCAGAACCTATTCTTAATAGTGGAAAGCAAAGGAGATACAAACTCCAGATATCTCCAAAAGGCACTAGGAGGATTACTCAACCAATATAAGGATGTTTTTGCGGGACCTGAGAGTTGCCTCTTATTGGACTTTTCGACCATGCCATCACACTGACGTGGGAGAATGCTACAGTAAATATATATCCTTACAAATATTTGTCCTATCAAAATAATGAATAGAGAAGTAAAAACAAAAATGTTGTACAACTTGCTCATCAAGCCCAATTGCAAACCTTTCTACTTGCCCATCTTATTGGTTAAGAAGAAGGATGGCACCTGAGGTTTTGTGTTGACTATAGAGAACTTAATTCTTTGACTGTAAAATATAAGTTTTCAATACCTATTATTGATTATCTTCTTGGTGAATTACACGAAGCAATTATATTATCTATAGTTTATCTTCGAGCGGGTTATATCATATTTGGGTAAAGAAAGAAAATATCCACAAAACAACCTTAAGGAAACATTAAGGTCACAATGAATTCAGAGTGACGTCATACGGCCTCATCAATACTCCAATTGTACTCCAAGCCAGCATGAATCACATTTTCATAACTTTCCTGCAAAAATTTGTCCTTGTTTTCTTTGATAACATATTAATTTATAGTACCTCCAAGCAAGAACACCTCAAGCAACCAAAAAAAATCCTATAGCTACTCAGAAGTAATAAGTTGTAGGTCAAGCAGTCCAAATGTTGTTTTTTTAAAACCGCAGTAGAATATTTAGGACATATTATCTCCATAAAATGAGCAAAAACATATCCCCAAAAAATTGAATTCATGATAAATTGGTCGACTCCACAAACATTAAAGCCCCTTAGAGGATTTCTAGCCCACAAATTGATACAAAATCATGGAGTCATAGCCAAGCCACCCACTAACTTGTTGAAGAAGGATACTTTTTGGTGGAACACAGAGGCCGATCAAGCCTTTCAACATTTAAAAACAACCGTAACCTCTAATCTGCCGAAATTCGGGGACCCATTCACTACAAAAGCTTATGCCAATGAAAAAGGAATTGGTGCAATTCTTATATAAGACAATCAACCTATCCTAAGCAAGGCTCTGAGTCCCAGAAATCAAGCCAAATCAATGCATGAGAAAGAACTCATAGCAGTTCTTTATACAATAAATTAATACCAGCATTATTTGAAAGGAGTCCTTTTTATCATTAGAACCGATCAATGCAGCTTGAAGTATCTATTAGATCAAAGAATGTCATCGATGATACAACAGAAGGGAATCATAAAATTATTGGGGTTAATTATACTATCAAGCACAAATAAGGATCATCGAACACTAAATCAATACTCTCTCAATAAGAGAACTGAAAGATCCTACGACGGAAGTAGTATATATTGTACCCACTTTTACCCCTGCTTGGATGATGAAGTGGTCAATAGCTACACCAGTGATCCCTTTACTCAACAATTACTCACAGAAGGGAGACTGCAACAAGCCTTCATTAGATACAAAGAAAAACTACAGAATCAACTATTACAACATTGTCACAACTTAGCTGTGGGAGGACAATCATGATCCAGGACCATCTACAAGCGGGCCAAACAACATTTCTATTGGACTAACATGAAGAATTATATCATGCAATGGGTCCAACAATGTGATATTTGCCAACATTGCAAATATACCGAATCTGTTGTAGCCTTTATCCACACCCTCAAATGTTTAGACTTACATATCCCTCGACTTCATCGAACAGTTACTAAAATTTAAAAAAAAAGATACCATACTAGTGGTAGTAGATTTTTTTAAAGATAACTAGTGGTAGTAGATTACTTCGCCAAATATGGGCATTTCATGCCACTGCACTGCTCATTCACTTCTGCTAGAGTTGCCTGATTTTATATGAAAACTGTGCATAAATTACATAAAATTTTGCAAGTTATAGCATCCGACAGAGATAAAATGTCCACCAGTCTATTTTGGAAGGAACTGATGACAATAGCGGGAGCAAACTTGCACTTCAGTTCTACATATCATCTGCAGACGGACTGCTAGACTGAACCATTCAAACAATATTTTATGATGTATCTCCGTTGCATGGCAAATCAACAACCAAAAACTTGAGCTAAATGGTCGATCATTGCCGAATGGTGGTACAATACCTCCTACCACACAAGCCTAAAATGACATCATTTCAAGCACTTCATGGATGCGCTCCTCCGCATTTTTCAAACACTATAGACCTTTATTCAGTTTTACCTTCAATGGAGATGCTCTTTCAGAAAGAGAAAAAACTAATAAGACTATTAGACAACAGCTTTTAAAGACAAAATCCTTGGCAAAAAAAATAAGGGGACAACTATCATAGTGAAAGAAGTTCTAAAGTTCAAGCTGGGTATTGCTCAAAGTACAATCATTTAAACAAGAGTCAGTAAGACAAAGAAGGGAATCTAAATTATCTCCTCGCTACTACAGACCTTTTCAAGTCGTATAGAAGATTGGGAATGTAGGATATAAGCTCAGGTTGCCAACAACCTTACAAATGCATCCCGTATTTCATGTATCTTGAGCAAAAAAGTGATCAAGTAAGATTTACCTCCCAATACTTATGAAGACTTAGTCAGAGTGCAACTTCAACAAGTCCTACAACTATAAACCACATTCTCTAACAACCAGCATGTGGATCAGGTTCTTATCCAATGGGAAGGAGCTCCAGCTGAAGAATTTACATGGGAAGACTGTGAGTATATTTGACATCAATTTCCAACTCAGAGAAGGTTAAAAATTGTTCAAGGGAAGGGTATTATCACAAAGCTTCTAAAGGTGTAATGCAGGAGAAGGGTAAAAGAAGAATAAATGAACAGGGGTAAAATAGGAAAAACAGACACAATAATAAAAATGTCATTTTAATGATAAAAATCTCTCTCTCTCTACTAGACGAGCCGGAATCATAAGCAAGTGTGCGGGCAACTAGGAATGGATAACATCTATTCACCAGGTTGAGCAGGAGTTGTGGAAAGTGTATTTGTATTGTAAGTAGGTAAAGGGTAATATTAGTATTATACTCTTCTCATTTAATTAATAGTGTTTCTTTTTTATTGTTCATAAAACACATATATATAGCGCTTATTATTCAATAAAATTCTTACTTCATTCTTCATAACAGTTCCCTTTGAAAGTGGTGAAGTCTGATTCTAACAGAAAGTGTGAGCACTGAGATCAACTATTGACCGACCTGAATAACTATTACAATGATCCAAAGCTACTAAAGAGCTATTTACTAGGGCAAGGAAGACAATGGCTCCAACTTAAGCAACCCCCGCTGATGAGACAAATGCCAAGACACGAATCTAAAAAGACTCGAATTGTTTATTTGTTATGGTCCGTGCAGTCCCACATAGCTAAACGACTTGGATACTTGTACCAGCACTTGGGATTTTATGAAACTACTATTTTCTAGAAATTTGACATGACTCTATAACTTGTCTGGTGAAGTTTTTCAAATTGCAGTGAGAAGATATAAAAGTCACTGGATTGCCAGATTGAAGAGTGTCTGAAGAATTGAATACAGTTGAACCAGCTTTTGCCACTGTTGGTACAAATCCAGAAATAAAGAGAGCAAATAGTCATCAAAATAAGTGAAAATCCAAAATAGAAAATTGACAATAGAGGAAGAACAAAATGGTGCTAATCAGCATACAGAAAATTATTCGATCCTTTATTTTTAGCACTTTTTTTATCGCTATTTCCAATTACTGGAACAGTTAGAATACAAGAATTTGGACAGCTTAACATAAACCAGAAATCTATAAATTTGAATTGTGGCCCACATACACAAGGTGCTTGTGCACATCATCAGTACAAATATAGTTAGCACAAAACGAAATATATATACCATAATCATCTGCAGAATATTTCCAAATTTCCAAAAGACATAAATCTAAGATGAAGTGTGCATGTAGAATCAAGTTTTCCCATGGAAAGTTGGAAATTTAAACTAGAAAGATTTAATAAGACAAAAGAAAATACAATCAGCTTATGAAATCCAATAATAGGAATACAATGGACCATGAGATAAAATTGGTAAAGATAGCTTACTTTTAGTGGAACTGAGAGGTTAGCAGTGCGAAGTATTGCTTCAGCAATTCCATGAGCATACCAAGGCTGCGAGAGAAAGTTGAAATCAGCAAAGTATATGAAAGAAGACAGTACCCAGAAACCCCCAGAAACGTAGGGGAGTGATTAAGTCAGGGCTCAGCTAGTAAGCAACCTAGGCTCGACTATAGTGACTGCTCTCCTTAGTGAGAAAAAGAATGGAGGAAAAAGACTGAAAAGAAATCATTAAAGCTATTTTAACAGAGAAGATTGCCAGATTGCTTTGATAACTACAGAGCAAAAGTGAACAATGGTTCATGTGAATCTTTTACCAAAAATTGAAGATTGCATAAAATGGTTAATCTATCCACGGCACAGTGCAGGTGGGACCATACAGAGAGAGAGAGAGAACAGTGGTATAGCCACAAATCATGATAACTAAGAGCAATCACCAAATAAGTTTAATATCGTGCTTGTTTGAAATTACAAAGTGTATAGTATTTTTTAGTTTTTAAGGAAACATCAGAAGGCATTGACAGGATTACAACATTTTCAAAAAGATAGCATAAAATTTACAAAGTTGTGTCAATTTCTAAAAAATAAATTGTTTGATAATCTTTTATGGTTCTTCTAAGTGAATTCACATTTTTAGAGCATTTTATATTTGTTTTATCATCAATCATCACTTTCAAAGAATTTATGGATAAATAGTAACTTAACTGTTTTATTATTAAATGTTTTTATAAGATGCTTGCCACTGAAATTCAAACATACCATTTTATAGGAAACTCATTCTTCCACTTTTTCTTGGTAGTTAGAAATCAGAAATAGAAAGCATTAATGGAGAGGAAAATTAACTATAGAAGGTAAAGTATCAACTGCAAGATTTACAATACTGGTGGAATGCTAACAAAAATTTGTTTAAACCTTGCTTCAAATGAAAGATACTAGTTCATTTTTTCTAGATGACAACATGAAAAAGTAACTGAATTTAATTTGTCAAGATTTAAAATGGCTATGATATGAAGAGCTAGATTACGTGTTTAAAGTTATACACAAATTAGAGAAACTAACCAAAATTTTCTAAAACTATATCAATATATTATTTCCTACGCCTCTTAATATACACGCTGCATGAAGCATATGAGAGAGAGCGATCATCATGAAAGGTTTCGCTTGCTTTATCTTTCAACATCAAAGGAAACAAAGAGAAGAAAATCCAACCACTGGTTTCAGGAGCATATCAACTTGATAATATCTAAACTATTTAACAAACAGAAACACAAGAGAATTGAGAGAGAGAAGCATCACCTTGAAAAGCTCCACAGGAGTGAACCATGCTATGTCACTTTGTTTGTAGATTTTATCCAAGTAATTCATATATGCATTCCTGCCTAGAATATGACAAAGTGTTAATAAACTGTTCACAAGATTATTAAGTCAGAACAACATAGTCCATCTATATCCAGAGTAGGATCATATTGAATATGCATTCTATCTCTATCATAAACTGGATCATAAAGAATGCATAGTCAGCACACTATCCACAAGACAAAAACTGAATGACAAACTTAGAAAACTATTTCAACAAATTTTTCTATAGCCATGAAGGACAAAGTTCCAGAAGAAAACTACTTAAATTTATTACAAAAGTACAAGTCAATGATTTCAAGAATGATCAGAAACATCCAATGAAGTAAAAGGAAATATACTCTAGCGGACAATGTTCTGAAGAGCTAACCTTAGATAACAGGACACCTAATGCAGAAGAGCAACATAAATAATTCACACATTCCGAATGCCACAAACAAGGATCACATACAACCAAACTAAATGGAAGACAAACACTTAACCTGATTATGCACATAAGGAGAATGAGAAACTAATAAAGTTAATATCACACAAAACTCCTATTCTGCCAAAAGCAACCAAGGAAGACCTATACTCCATCACATCACTGTTTAACAACTTATCTAGAATTTGGATGCTTAAAATTAGCAATCCAAATTTCAATTTCATGCATCAAATAACACAAAACAAGACTACAAATTGCATGATAGAAAGAAACATGGAAAAAACAAATTCCAGAGGTCACAAGCAGCCAAAACTGAAATCTAATTAATGACCTGCAAGCTGATTGAACTTAATGCTCCTCTCAAGCACTCCAACTGACCCTGATCTTTGTGAAAAGTATCCATGTTTTGGATCATACAATGACGAATGAATGAAATCACGAACCTGCTCAAACAGAATAACAATTGCTAGAAGCCAATCAACAGAACCGCACAATGACAGGTGGAAACTAGAGTTAATGTAAAGGGCATATATATAATTCAACTGGTAACATGATTTACAAAAGATTCGTTAATGAGGATTTAAAAAGCCATGGAAATGACAGCAAAAAAAAAAAAATCTTGAGAGTGAATGTGATTGACAAAGTATGACAAAGAAAATTAATCCACAAAAACCCAAATCAGATTGCAAAGGCCAAGTTCAACACTGCAAATTTATAGAGAAAATTACTCTTTGCGGGTATTGCAACTCAAACCCATCGATCAAATTGCCAAACTACAGGACAAGGTGGCAAACACTAGGCTATGTTTGAGACAAATGAACAATAAAATTCATCTTGTTTTCAAACCAATTTTACAAAGAATTCGTTTGTAAATAAATTCTTAGGATTCAACAAAAAAAAACCAAGGTTGTAAATTTATGAAATTCAATATTTTATGTAATTATATTTAACAAATGTGTTCTAAACTCCTATTTCGTCCTCTTTTAAAAACACCACAACTTATTACCAAATTGGCATATTTATATAATTTAAGATTTATTATTTAATTTCCAGATAGAATTTATTCGAAAATCAATTTTTATGTTTGAAACCTTCTATCTAAAATCGAGATTAGGAGTAAACTTCACAATTTTTCTAAAATCCATTTGTTCCAAAAACGTAACATTCAAAAGTAAGCAGCGTAATGTAAAAATGAAAAATAGTTTGCATGTAGTAAGTACAACATTACTCAGGTGACGAAAACCGGGGAGAAGATATTAGAGAAAGTGAAGATAGCGAACGGAACTCCATAGAGCAATAGAGGGAGTACATAGTAATTTTGAAGGATAAGAAAAACCTAAAATACACGGCACAAATAAATAGAACGTCTTACAAGAACTGGTTTATCCCCAACAATGTGTGTCGAGTAGAGTGCTTGTGCTTGAAGAGTGGAGGAATCGCGTGGAGCAACTGCAGGAAAGCTGTGTTAGTTATACGTTAATGTGTCAGACAGAGAGAAGGAACACAGAGAGAGAGACAGAGAGAGAGAAATAACCATCGCGATTGTTGAAGAGAACAGAAAACTTTCGGGAAGATTTAAGGTGAGAGAACATGATGCTCTGTGTTGTCTGTGGCTGTTGAGGGTTGATCCAAGGTCAGTTCAGGGGTTTACGAATTGGTAATGGCGACACCCAAAACCCCTTCGCTTATTTGGCATAATTCAAAATGCAAACTATCCCCTGTTCAAGCTATGTTAAATAAAAATTTAAATTTTGACTATTATTTATAACATATTTGACATATATTAAAATATACTTCAAAAAGTATAACTTATTTAGTTAATATAATTAAAAAATTACTTTCGAAATGCCAAAGTAAAAGTAAAAAAGTTGAGTTAAAAGAGGTCTTATATAGTGTTGAGCATTGTTTATTTTATATTTATATGTTTACACACAATGTTTCAATATATATATTTTAAATAATTGATATTAAATTCCTAAAAGTGAGAAGTTGAAATATAAACATTATATTTATCTTTGATTTATATTTGTTTTAATATTACAAATATATAAAACAATGTAACTTATAAAAATAATTATGGTAAATATATTTTTTTAAAAAACTCATTTTTTGTTATTAATACTTTATTAAAATGCATAATTGCTTTGTTATATAAAGACATTATACTCTTTAAGCTTTTTTTTTTTCAACAATCTTAAACACCTTCTTACATTAAACATTATTACAATTAATATCAAAGAATAAAAAATAACATAAATATTAAAAATTATGTTAATATAAGTATACAATTTTAAGAACTTCACAACTCTTCATTAGATAATTTTTCTTGTTTCTCAAACTTCAAATAATGATATTCATTTTTAAATTATAAAGTAATATTATTTTTAATTTAATATAAACATACAATTTTATAAAAATAAAACAAGACAGTATGTCAGATAATAAAAATTATTTTGTTTAAATAATCAGTTGTGCAATTAATTTTATCCTCATAAATTTTCTCACATTTGTATGTTGAATTTATAAAACAAGATTTATACTTCATCAAATTATTTAAATATCTACTAATTGTAAATTATTTATTCATCGTCTTGAATTTAATTTTTTATTTTTAATGATACTTACATTTATTTGATACTATTTACATATATTTATTAAACTATCGTTATATATTTTTATAAATTACGATAGAAACTATATTTAACATAAAAAATGAGTGTCCATGCTCTTGTTAATATTAACATTGAATATACTTCGATTACACACCTAAAGTTTGTAATTAAAAATAGTAATTATGAGTTAGTAAATTAATAATTGTTATTTTACCATAATATTTCATATACAAGATAAGTTAGATAAAAAAAAAATTAAAAAACTAATAAAAAAATACGAGAACGAAATAGATAAGAAAAATAAAAATAGCGCTTATCCTACAAATACTTAATAAAAAGAGTTTAAAAAGTTGTTTATGTAACACTCAAATTTATTCAAATATTGAATTAAATTGTAAATATAATTTTTGTAGTTTTTTTTATTATTTTAATTTAATGAAAAAAATGGAGTAAAATTGATGGAAGATTAAATTGAAAATAATTTTGGAGAAAATAGGTGAAATCTTGGGTTCTGTGAGTATTTTTGAAACAAAAATAAAAAATATGGGCCAAAACGTAATTTTAGAAAGTTTCACCACGTCAGACGTCGGATCAGCAGCCCTGACCAACCAGGACGCACTAAATGACAGAGACACTGACGCGGGAGGCCACGCGGGGGGACCACGAGGGCGATCCGCGTCTCCGCGATCGACGGCTGAGGTCCATTCCCGCACGCATGGACAGCCTGGATGCGCTCCCTCCCAAACGCAATCAAACGACAATATTCAAACATGATCAGACGGCAAAGAGTAAATCACGATAGACCGTCCAGATTGGATCGCGATGAACGGTCCAGATTCACTTCTTATTTAATCGCGATCGGACAATCTAGATCAAACGCGATGAATGGTCCAGATCAAAAGCGGATGAATATAAATAACCTCTATCTGCACTAAACCCTAATCCTAGCCACCAGAACCCCTCACCGGAGAAGATGACCCAACCGCCTGGGAGCCGACTGACGCCACCTGCCGCCGTATCGGAACCCTTTCTGACCGCTAAAAAAGGTAAAAACTTTCTCTTTTGCACGAAATTCAATTTTAAGCTCACTCATGGCTAAATCATAGTGAAAAGATCGGTCAATTGGCCAAAAATTACCGACGAAGCCCGGCAGCGCCACAACGAAGAATTTCACAAAACGCCTCTGATGAGGCCATTCCCAATTCCCGTTCAGCGTAACCGTTTTGATCACCGTTATTTTCTCTACAGCTTGACCGAAGTAAAACACCCAACTACAACGTGAGCCGAAAGAGCCATCGCACCGGAATGCCCCGTCGAAGGTGAGTTTTGGTTTTCTATTCTTCTTTTGCCAACCGAGACACCTAAGTATGTTTTCTCATAGAGATTGATCCAACATCGGCTGAATTTTGTCGAAAACAGCAAAAAATAGCCAACCCGAGGCAGACTGCCGCCACAGGCAGTGACGCCGTCGCTGAAGCACGGCGGAGCCGCCTTGCCGAATTTTTGAAATTGGCCGAGTGGACCCTGAGACTGATTTTGAGTTTATTTGAAACATTTGTAAGTACTATAAGCATGTTTCAGTTCATGAAGAAAAAATTTAGGGAACTCAGAGACCGCCCGTAGGTGCAGTAAACCGTTTAGCTCTTCGGAGTTAAATCGAGTAAGGATCCCTCACCCTATTCTCTATCATAGAAATGAAGTATAAATAAATAATAATGTGGTATTTTGTGCGATTTTAATAAACATGCATAATTAATTACTGATTGCTAATGAAACTCGAACCGAAAATTGTTCTCTGTTAATCTCTTTTTATATATTTTGCAGTCTAAAAACATGATAGTATCTTATCGATTTATTTTATAGTTTGAATTCATGAATTGCTGTCTTACATGACTACTGTTTGATTTGAGATTTGAGACATGATTGTATTACTTGATGCATGTTTATTTGCTTATGTGATTATATTTGATTTAGAAATGGAGACTAAAAAAAACGGAAAAGTTGTGTGATTAAATAAACAGATGAAACGGCAGCCTTACTAGATATTTTGGGAGATGGTGGACGGACCAGGTATATAGAGAACCCTACTGTGAACGTTGTCTCATACTAGACGAGGTATGGAGATTGAATAATTTGGCGTTCATACCGAACGGAGTATGGGGATGACCCGCTTTACCCTCATACCGGACGGGATATTGAGGTTTAATGATTTAACGCTCATTCCGGACGGGGTATGGGGACGCCCTGTTATTGAGATTATTAAAGGAAATAATTCACGTATAGCGGGGACATCCCTATGAACCCCCATGGGTACTAGTAAGCTGGTGAAAAGAGAAACAATTATGGTTTGATTTATTGTTAATGGATATGTATTTATAATATGTTTTATGTTACTGATTGTTCATGAAATTATTATCTGTATGGTATTATTATTTTTATAGGTTGTTTTCATAAATTTCACTATGGTAAGTGAACGAGAAATGATTTTATGAATGATAAATGAATTTACTAAATTTAATGCTCCATTAGTAGTTTTCGATTTTATATCAACATTTACTTCAGTGCCGGTGATATAGTGTGATATTCTTACTGGATTAATGTAACTCGTCCTTTATTTAACTATTTCAGATCAAGAGGATCAGGTTCCAGAGCCCGATCCGCAAGAAAATTTTGAGTAGATGTTAGATATTTTCTATTTTCTATTTGCTTCCTTATTTGTCATATTTCTTTCAAATAATTAATTTCGTAATATTGTTAAGTACTTTTAAGTTACTGTGTAAGGAATGTAAACCTTAACTTCTTATTTCGCTTCTGCACTTAAGTTATTATATATTTCCTTTTGGATATCCGGGGTTGTTACAGTTGATATCCGATCCGCATTCCTCGGACCCATTTCTTACACAATAATCCTTAGGAAAACACCAAAACAATGAATTATCACTCAATCATTCATTGTGAAACGCAAGTACAAAGAGATTAGGAGAGGAAAACCCCCACTAAACCGAATAGCCCAGGATGGTTCACTTAGGAAAGATGTTGACCGGATATTTGAAATGCTTGAGAGACTCATTACTG